ATACAATCTTCACCTAACAATTTTAGTTTAGCTTTAAGATGTAGGTACATAAGCTATTAATAATTTAATTATCACAGTCAAAATGTTCTTAAATAAATTCAAATTCTAAATATTTATTGTAAGCTTAGTGTTACATTTGGCGTTAATATAAAATATGACGTTTCTTACATCTTACTACTATTTTCGGGTCAATAGGTTTAGAATTTAAATAGGTTTGTGACATACATAACTATATTGATCATAATTCATCAAAATTATAAAAGAAATTAAATAACATAACTTAGCTATTATAAAATTCTAAATAACAAATTGTTTTGGTTGTAGCTAAATACTCTGAAACACAAAGCGCGCACACAAAGCGCGCACACAAGGAACGAACGGCGCTCTTACTCTTTTGCTGGCTAACTTGATCCGTTCATATACAGCAGCCCAAACTTAAGTTAGGGAGATCCACGAAGCAGTATTTGCTCCACAGATCATAGAAACAACAGGAGATATGGCAAGGAGGCGTGGCGCTTGCGAACGATCCCAGTTTCACTAATTAGTGGAATGTCAACTTGCGACGTGTTTACTGCTCGAGATTTTTGACAAAATGACGTGTTGTTCAGTGATCGTTTGCAAAACTAACAGCTATATTGTGAATTACATGAAAGATGGCATCTCATTTCACACGTAAATACTAAAATATTAATGTTTTTCTTATTAAATTCATTAAAACATTACTTCGTGGTACTAGAAACACGATGAAAAACCAAATCAAATGTTTTCATTAGGAACAAAAACCATTGCTTGTTTAGTACAAATCGACCAGTGCATCGGCTGGTCTAATAGCGTAATGGATAAGTGTTTTACTGATACTCTCACTCAAACGATAGTTTCGTGAAGCGGCCGCTGCCGGCTTTTGTGAGTAATGTGATGTTTGTGGTTGTCGATATTTTATACGATTCTGCTAAGTATGAATGATTATACATGATACAATAAATTATTGTAAAACATAATTTGTTACTACAGTGTAAGTAAATGCGCATTTTATGGCGTTAATGAGAGTTGTCGTTAAATGGAGATAAGAAAAATCAATATTCTTTACTATTATAATATGTACTCACTAAGAAACTTTAGAAAAAACGAAACGGTATTTAACTTCTATAAAGCTTCCAAACGGTAAAAAGGCTATCAGTACACCAAGAAAAACTTATATACGTCTTATTGGCTTTTTACTTGGCTTTTGGCTTTCTAGTGTACACAGAAAGCCTCAAGGCATTTTATATACAACTAGTTGAAAAGGCCATTGTATTAATTAATATTGTTGAACCACAATATTAATTATAATTTATTTATTAATATTTTGTTTTAACTACATATTTTTTATTTTTATTATAATATTTTCTGGACATATCGTTCTTTATTTATGTTATTTTATTTTCATGGCCCCAAAAAATCTTTAGTACAATAATTATAAATAGAAGAATCGACAACTTTCCGATTTAGTCAATCACTAGCGTCTAAGTAAAATAAATGCCTTTTGCCATTACGATAGCGACAGATGTTTTTGAATGAGTAAGTTGTACGGTTCATGGTAAATGCACGCTGTTTTTGATGGGATAAGGTTTATAATTGGTTGTGTTGTACTTTCTGATTTATGAAATGCGGGTGTTTGCGCGCCTGTGTATCTATTGCTTTCACTGAACTGCATGTGTAGTAGTGTTGGCGAGTGGCGGGGACAAACTGGCGACAACAGGTGCCGATACATTTTAACGTAAAGCTTGTCTAACCTGAAATGACGCGCCCCACTACTTAATTAGTTGATTTCGATGTATGAGTGCAAATATTAATAACGACGCTTCATCTGTATTTGAGCGTCGACTGCTTCGCGAACTATGATCTGTATGCCTACGTGACGGTCGACTAGTCGCGTGATAAATCCGACAACGCTCTCCTAATGGCGCCTCTTCACATTGGCCAACACAGTGGCGAATGTGTTGGCAGAGTTATTGGCCAAGAAATTGTGAACGCGTTGGAAGGTCGTTCAGTTTGCTTCGGTTCAGGCCAATGTACGGACGAATTTATTACAATGATTATTGATGCGCTAACGGCTGCTGCGGTTTATTTATTCACAGCATACCACTATTTTTTTATTTAATTTTCACTATTTTATATATTTAATATTTTTAATATTTCTTTATTATACACTAACGTTATACAGATAAGTGAACTATATAAACATTAACACACCTAGGCATAGGTATAATTAACACTTTTACAACTAAAGCCTGGAAAATATTCGAAGCCTGTCTATGAAACTGTTGTCAAATTTTATTAAACAAAACCTTTTTAAAAAGGATTATTCTTATTATATAATTATAGAATAAAACTTAATAATAATAACAAATAATTTATTTCGTCAAACATTAAAGTTACATTATATGATCAGTGATCGAGCTCACCTAGTAAGCAAAATAATGCCTGTACATTGAGTTATATGTACTACGTACTAGAGAAGCCATTCCGAACATTGACTATGTTCAACTGAACTGTAGTGCAATCCATACAAACTAAATTTTGCGTAAATTGAAGATTTGTGAATTCCATAAAATAATTATTATAACATTTTATTTAGAAATATATTTGTTTAGATTAAATTAAGATATTTTATATTAAATTCTTATATTTATTTTATATTAATATCTTATTTTATATTAAATTAAAGTCTTCGCGCATGCGCGACTACTACTCCCGCGCATGCGCGAAGACATACAGTAGGACACAATTTTTGTTTGGAATGGCTTCTCTAGTACGTAGTACATATAACTCAATGTGCCTGTGAGGTGACTTCGCTCTTCCATAGCTAAAAATTACAGTATTATTAACGAAATAAAGTAACTAATAGGGAATAATAAAGACGAATCGAATCCCGCACCGAACAAGTATTTGTATAGCCTGCACATAATTTCTCCGGGTCTGGATGTTTGTCCTTATGCAATTTATGTTTCTAAACTGCCTCCACGATACAGGAGAAAATCCTAGTGTATAATAACATTTTTTTTAAAAAGACTTGTGTTTTACAAACAATTTTCGGCTTGGTAGGACTCTATAAAGCGAAAAGTTTTTTCATTGGTCATTGTTACTGTCGTTATGTAGACACTAGTTACGATGCGTGCATATAAAATTTAAATCAGGTGCGTGCAATCACTCTGGGAGCTCGTAGCAAACTGAACGTGCGCCCAACGTGTGGACGCGACGGTCAATACTCTGCCACAACCCTTTGATCTTTTGCAAAAAACCGACACCAGACGGATCTCGCGCCAACTTGTGGGCCATCGTTCCAATACATACCAACGTAGCTTAAACACCCGCTCTACACGATGGCCATCGTTGTGGGCCAACACATTCGCCAGTGTGTTGGCCAACGTGAAGAACCGCCGTCTCGCGCCAAATTGTGGGCCATCGTTCCAATACGTACCAACGTAGCTTAAACACCCGCTCTACACGATGGCCATCGTTGTGGGATAAACACATTCGCCAGTGTGTTGGCCAACGTGAAGAGCCGCCGTCTCGCGCTAACTTGTGGGCCATCGTTCCAATACATACCAACGTAGCTTAAACACCCGCTCTACACGATGGCCATCGTTGTGGGCCAACACATTTGCCAGTATGTTGACAACGTGAAGAGCCGCCCTCTCGCGCCAACTTGTGGGCCATCGTTCCAATACGTACCAACGTAGCTTAAACATCCGCTCTACACGATGTCCATCGTTGTGGGCCAACACATTCGCCAGTGTGTTGGTCAACGTGAAGAGCCGCCGTCTCGCGCCAACTTGTGGGCCATCGTTCCAATACATACCAACGTAGCTTAAACACCCGCTCTACACGATGGCCATCGTTGTGGGCCAACACATTCGCCAGTGTGTTGGCCAACGTGAAGAACCGCCGTCTCGCGCCAACTTGTGGGCCATCGTTCCAATACGTACCAACGTAGCTTAAACACCCGCTCTACACGATGGCCATCGTTGTGGGATAAACACATTCGCCAGTGTGTTGGCCAACGTGAAGAGCCGCCGTCTCGCGCTAACTTGTGGGCCATCGTTCCAATACATACCAACGTAGCTTAAACACCCGCTCTACACGATGGCCATCGTTGTGGGCCAACACATTTGCCAGTATGTTGACAACGTGAAGAGCCGCCCTCTCGCGCCAACTTGTGGGCCATCGTTCCAATACGTACCAACGTAGCTTAAACACCCGTTCTACACGATGGCCATCGTTGTTGGCCAACACATTCGCCAGTGTGTTAGCCAACGTGAAGAGCCGCCGTTAGGAAAAAGCGTTGGGGCATTGTATGAAACAAAACGTCCGCTCTCTGTCACCTGTCTGTCTCTGTCTCTGTCGCGGACAAAAAATCCAAGAAAAGCCACTTATTAGCAAATACGGTCTACAAAGAAATTGAAGTTAAATTATTTAATTATGATGGTATTTCTTCTATTTGTTAATTAATGGTTCAAAAGATATTGTTTTAATTTTGTAATTATGTAGATTAATTAAACCAGATTGATATTCTTTCGAAATATTTATTTTACAAATTAGTATAATTACTACAACAATATGCATGTAAATTATGTAAAGTATCACTATTCACTCATCTCCATAGATTCACTTTCATCTGAATCAGAGTAATTAACAGAAATAATAAATTCAAAGTCCATGTCAAAATATTGCAAATACTGTTTTTCTGTGTCTTCAACATGCCGACATGTATTTGCCCACATAGTACTATCAATCATTTCGAGTCGTTCATTTATAAGTGACATAATGGATGTACAATTTTGTGAAACATTTTTATTAGCCACGTAGTTTTTTAATATCCCCCATATCTTTTCAATTGGATTTAGTTCCGGGTGGTAAGGTGGTAGTCGTAGAATTTCAAACCCTTTTTTTGATTGAATCAGTTCGTCAATAACGAACCTCTTGAATCTGTCCTTATTTTTTAAAATAAGATCGTACAGTTAAATTTTTTTCATTTTTTCGTCAAACTGAATATTTTTTTCTGTAAGCCACGTTTGCATGGCTTGCTTATTTGAGTTGGAGTTGGGAGCTTTTTCTAATAAAGCATTGTGGTAAGAAGCGTTATCCACAACGATGACAGCCTTTACCGGGAGATTGGGCAGTAATTGTGTGGTGAGCCATTTCTTATAATTATCCAGATTCATGTTGTCGTGATAATCTCCACTTGTGGAGTTTGCTTTATACACCAATCTAGCATTTGGAACAAATCCTTCACATCCACCAGCGTGAACAATTATGACCCAAGTACATTTAGACAACTTTTTTTGCACTGCTGATACTCCTTTGACTGGTTTCCAGCACATGTTTTGCAGATGTGTTGTGTGAACATAACTTTCATCTGTGTATACGATATAGCGGCCCTCGTCACGATATTTCTTTAACTGCCTCAAATATTGAAAACGTAACATTTGAATATCATGCTTTTCTACTAAAGCTTTACGATTGTCATCTATTTTGGACCACTCGTAACCCGATTCCTTCAAAATGATACGCAGAGTGTCTATACAACCGTTAAAACCAATTCTATCTGTTAATACTTGTTTCAGTTTTCTTAACGTTGGTAATTCATTAAATTCTGTATGAAATGTCGCTATCGTTCTGCGAAGTATACCCATATCAAAATCATCCAGGTTAGACTTGGTACGTTCCTTTTTGGTCTTGAGGGCGAACTAAAAATTTTTTGTGACGTATCATTTGATGTACTAGCTTGTTTCTCTTCTTTCAAAATTCGTGTAATCGTAGATTCACTAGCACCAACGGCTTGGGCAGCTCGCCATCTAGCGTCATATTTGTTCGCCGCCACAGAAGTTGATGACACGCCTATTGTGCCATCAGCCATGTGTAAAAGTAATGTTCTTTTTTATGCTTTTTTCACTTGTTTAGACCTAATTAAGTTTATTTGACATCAAACATCAGTTACTAACGGAAGTATACTTATTTTTAGTGGGTAACTACGTGTTTTTCTACGTGTTTTCTTTGAAATTGAGAGTAAGTGACATTTTTATGCAGAGATAACAAACCTTTTGTACTATTTTTCTGTTTTATAAAAAATAATTTATATAAGTATATGCCGTGTAGTGGCGGTCAAGAATATCCACTACCCCATATCTTCCCGTGGGTGTCGTAAAAGGCGACAAAGGGAAACAGGCAGGAGATGGGCAGCAGCATCTTCCTGATAACAGCAAACTTACAATAAAAAAACTGCAGTTGCCAACCCGCTCGCTAAGCGTGGCAACTATGGCAAATACCTCCCTATTTTGAGAGTAACAAAGAAACGGCCCCCAGTCCCCGGCGGCCCCGCTATTCCTGGCTACGGTGGCGACCATGGTAACGGCGGGGCAGGGGGTGCTAAGAATCTCTGGTAGAGGTTCGGTTGCCACCTTAGACGACTCGACCTGGCAACGTACAACGCACGCAGCCTGAGGACTGACGAGAAGATCGTGGAGCTGGAAGAAGAGATAGGCAAGTTGCGCTGGCATATTTTATTTTATTTATATTATAGCATTATCGGAAGTCCGAAGAGAGGGGGAGGACACGGTAATCCTTGAATCCGGCAACTTGCTCTATCACCGGGAGGGCGACTATCTGTCCCAAGGAGGTGTCGGATTTATCGTCCACAAGTCTCTTGTTAACAACGTTGTAAAGATTGAGTGTGTCGACGAGGGTTGCGTACCTTATACTGAGAATCACCAAACGGTATTCGCTGAAGGTCATACAGGTTTACGCACCAACCTCGGCACACCCCGATGAGGAGATGGAGGAAATGTATGAGAATATCTCTAGAGCCATGCATTCCTCCAAAACCCAATATACGGTGTTAATGGGAGACTTCAATGCAAAACTAGGCACAAGAGAGAACGGTGAGCTGAAAGTAGGGAAATTTGGAATAGGGCAACGGAACCCAAGGGGTCAGCAGCTGGCCGACTTCATGGAAAAAGAGGGACTCTTTATGATGAACTCTTTCTTCCAGAAGCGGCCCCACAGGAAGTGGACCTGGTCGAGCCCCGACGGTTCGACAAAAAATGAGATTGACTTCATTATGACGACCAGAAGACAAAAGTTCAGTGATGTCTCCGTGATCGCGAGGGTGAAAACTGGTAGCGATCACCGAATGGTTAGAGCCACACTGAACCTAAACGTTAAGTTGGAGAGGTCTCGTCTAATGAAGTCAACGCTCCGTCCCCCTCGCGCTCTGTTCCAAAGTCCCGAAACCTTTCAGCTCGAGTTACAAAACCGTTTTCAGTGCCTAGAAGACTGCAATGAAGTGGATGATATGAAAGACAAGCTCGTGGGAACTGTAGGGGGGTCATTGTAGAAGCGTGCTCATCGCGACCCCTGCCAGCCCTTTTCAGGGCTGCAATTCTACACAGCTGCGCACCCATGCCAACGAGGGTTAGGGCCTCCCCCCAAGGCGACGCACACCAGCTCGTCCCCGTTGGTGTGGAATGCAGCTCGCAAAGTGGCGATGGGGACTGCCATCCGTCACGCACAGCCCGAAACGGCGGAAGGTGGAGGACAGAGTGCAGAGTTGGCACGTGGAATGTTAGAGGAGGCATGAGAGATAAGACGAATGAGTTGATAGAAATAATGAAAGAAAGAGAATTAGATGTCGTGTGTATGTCGGAGACCAAACGGAAGGGCAGTGGTAATGAAGAGCTCCCTGGCGGGGCGTTAGCTCTATGGTCCGGAGTCCCGGAGAGCGAGAACACTTGCCAGGGAGTGGGGGTGCTGCTGTCTTCTCGGTTGGTCGATGTTATGACTGAATATAAGGTTGTGAATTCAAGACTTCTCTGGGTTCGCTTTAAATTGGAACTGAAGAAGTTATTCCTTTTGGCTGTTTATGCGCCGGTAGCTTCGTCGTCCAGGGCTGAGCTGGAGGAGTTTTGGGAGAATGTAAGAGAAGTTCTAGATTTGGCTAGGGCAAACGAAAGAATTGTTGTATGTGGTGATTTGAATGGATGGGTTGGTACCGCTCGACCAGGGTATGAGTCGGTACTTGGAAAGTTTGGCGATGAAAGGGTTAATGATGCTGGCAAGCTTATACTGGCGGTATGCAAGGAAAAGGGTCTTCTTGTGACAAACACTATGTTTAATCACAAGAAAATCCATATGTATACTAGAGAAAGAAAGAATGAGAGAAGTATGATCGATTTCTTCCTGGTGGATGACCGACTGCGAAAACAGGTGATGGATACGCGACTGTTCAGGGGTGCTGACCTGGGAACGGATCACTATCTAGTGATTACTAGATTTAGGGGTCTGTTCGCGGGTTGGCGCTACCGGACGGCAGTAACAGAACCACAGTCGGTCTGTCGCATCCGAAGCTGGAAGCTTCAGGAAGCGGATACTAGGGACAAATATCATGCGAGGGTAACCGAAAAGCTTGACACCATCGATGTCAGAAAAGAATGTGTGGAAAGAACATGGCAGAACCTTAGGGATGGAATGGTAAGTGCAGCGGAAGAAGTGTGTGGAACAATAAAAAGAGGCAGTAGTAAAAGAAGAGATGCATGGTGGAATGATGAAGTGAAAGAAGCTGTAAAGAAGAAGAAGAAAGCATGGTTAGACTACTTGGCCCCTGGTAATGATAAGTATATGAGAGAGAAGATGAAAGAAAGATATAAGCTGCAGAAAGTTCACACGAAAGCATTGATTGAGGAAGTGCGTGAAAGGTGTAGAATGGAAGCGGACGAAAGGTTGTCGCACAACTTTAAGGAGAACTCCAAACTCTTTTGGAAAGAGGTTGGAAGGACCCGAAGTGGTGCGACGGCCTTAAGAATAAACAAAGTGCTTTCGAGAACTAATGACGTCCTCTCAGAAAAATCGGACGTTATGCAGTGATGGGGTGAATTTTATAGAGAAATGTATGCGTGTGATGATCTTAGTGAGGGATCCGGGGATGACGCCGTGACTGGTACGCCAGACCCGGACCTCGATGACACTGAGGTCATCAGTATGAAAGAGATTGAACGTGCGATTCGAAGTTTGAAATGTGGTAAGGCTGCGGGACTAGACAGAGTTACTGCTGAAATGGTCAAGTATGGGGGGCCTCGCGTCTGGGACAGCTTTCATCTGCTGTGCAATTTGTGCTGGCGGACGGGGGATGTCCCGGATGATTGGCGATCTGCAGTCATTGTGTCTTTATATAAAGGTAAAGGTTCACATTTTGACTGCGGGTGCTATCGGGCGATCAGCTTGACCAGTTTAGCAAGTAAAGTTTACTCGAAGGCATTGACACATAGGATGCAAGAGAAATCGGAAAGATTTCTATGGGAGGCACAATGCGGATTTAGACCTGGAAGAGGATGCACGGATCAAATGTTTTCTCTCCGCATGATCACGGAAAAGCTTCTGACTGCTAACCAGAAGATTTTCTGTGCTTTTGTGGATCTTAAGAAAGCATTTGATAAGGTTGTAAGGAAGAAAATGTGGGAACTGTTGCCGGGGTATGGTGTGGATGGTCGATTGTTAAGGGCTGTGCAGTCACTTTACTGTGACTGTAAAGCCTGTGTGCGGGTAGGGCATGACCTGTCATCCATGTTTAAATTCCAAACGGGCGTAAAACAGGGTTGTGTCATGTCTTCCTGGCTGTTCATACTGTATCTCGACAGCTGTTTACAGAAGCTGAAAGATAGCTGTTTGGGTGTGAAATTGGGTGACATAAAAGTAAATTGTCTGCTGTATGCTGATGATGCAGTGCTTATTGCACCATCAGAGGCAGAAATGCAGGCATTAGTCACGTGTATGAAAGAGAAATGTGAAATTAAAGGTCTCCGTTTGAATGCTAATAAAACTAAGGTTCTGGTATTTGAAAGGGACGAAGAGGGAACGAAGTGTGAAATATGGGTAAATCAGGAATGTCTAGAACAGGTAATTGAAATTGTATACTTGGGGAGTGCTTTTAGCCGGGATGGAAGATATGATTTAGATGTGGACAGGCGTGTCGCTGCCGGGAACAAAGTCAATGGTGCTCTGACTGCGTTAGTCAAAAGGCAAGGCGTAGTGAAGAGTGCACGCCTTGCAATACATAACGCAGTGTTGGTACCGACTTTGTTATATGGCAGCGAAACCTGGGTATGCCAGAAGAAGGAATGGTGAAGAAAATATATAGCGCGAAAGTAAATATTAAAAGGTGTCGAGGTAGACCGAGACTAACTTTCGAAGACCATGTGAGCAAATTGCTCGAAGAGGGGAGGGTCAAGAGTACTCGGATACCTAGACGTGAATGTATGAAGAAGATAATGAATCTGAAAGAAGCGAAAGAGGTATGTAAGGATCGTGACACTTGGCGATCTGTTCTCTCTGGCTACCCCGTCAGGGATTGTGCGTGAAGACAAGTTAAGACAAGTTAAGTAAAGTAATTTTAAATGGGGAGAAACTGAGTCTTGTAGATACCACCATTTTTCTTGGAATCACATTAGACGCGAAGCTTCAATGGAGCCCCCATATATCAAAACTAGCAAGCAGACTTAGTTCTGCAGCATATGCTGTAAAAAAGATTAGAAGTCTAACCAGTGTTGAAACAGCTAGACTAGTTTACTTCAGCTACTTCCATAGCATAATGTCGTATGGTATTTTGCTATGGGGACACGCAGCTGACACAGAAATTATATTT